TCCCTACACAGTGTAGTGACTCGACACATGTATTAGGAATATGACCAAACAAAAGCATTTGTAATCTCAGAATAGATGATCACTTTATTGGTAATGTTTAGGAATAAGGCAGTTACAAAAGAAGCCCCATGAAAACCCGACAGTGATGGAATATGGCTTAACTTCTTTATAACATGAAGGAACATTGCTGTTATGAGGAACAGAGAATGAAAAGGAAAAACCATACCAATTATAAATGACTGTGCTATGAGGTACTGTAAAACCCCAATTTCTGGAGTATGTCACTCACTTTCATCCACCAGAAACTGAGATGTGCCTCACATCACAGGAAACTTAAAGGGAATAAAGAGAAATCAACATTACCTCAGCTTCAAGGTAATTTGTCACCACTAGTTGTATGGGGCTGTGACACAAAGCCATGAACATCTCTTGAGTCAGGCCAAGAATTCCTGGTCCCCCTGAGAGATGCTGTGACAAATGCTTCGAGCAAATGATTGTCAGAGAGTGGGAAATCCTTCCATGAAATACACTTGAGACATACTGGCAAAGACATTAAGGCCTTCCATTTCTTTGCCCATACTGCTTAAAGGCACTGATACCAACAACAGAAATATTCCATAGTACCATGGAGGTTTTTAAAAAAACTCCCCAAATACAAGTCTCCATAAGAAAATGTCCTTTATTGCATGAATGAAGCATCCACTCTTCTGCTCAGGAATAGAAGGGTCTCCCTTTTTCAGGAGTCTGGAGTCTGCTCAGCCTAGCGACCTGAGAAGGGGATGGGGGCACATCCTGCCGGAAGGGCCCCTTAGGGGGAGTGTAACTGGGGTCCTGGACTTTCTTATACGAGTCATAGCTGCTGAGCCCCTCGGGAGCAGGCTGCTTCTTCATTTGCTGCTCTTTCCGTCTCTGTTCCTGGCGAAGGAGTTCCTGGGTCTCCAGCATCACCCTGGCATTGAAGCCGTGCCCGCCCAGGTAGCCGTTTCTGGAGCCTTGGTAGCTGGAGTACCTGAGGCTCTCCTTGGCACTCTGGAAGCCTTCCCCAGGCGAGTAGTTCTGCTCCCAGGAATCCTGGGAGACAGAGCTGGCATTTTTCCTGCTTTGCCTAGAAAGCAAAGCCCAAGGTCAGTGTGAGATTGGGAGAAGGGGAGAGCAAAAAAGAGGAGGGAAGGGGTAAGAGGGTATATGCATTTCAATATTTCAACAAATAGTATTGTGCTCCAGGCACTGTGATGGGGGCTGGAGGAAGAAAATGTGACTGTCAGCAAGCTCAAATTTCAGACAAGTGAACAAACAAGGGCTAAACAGGAGAGAGAACTAACTGACAGCTATTCAGAAACAGGGTCCGCCTTCTGTGTCTGGGGAGGTACCGTCTATTCTACTTAAGGAACATATATCTCCTGCAATTCAGACACATTGGCAAAATGCTTTAGAGGAGGATTAGAGATTTGGCAGCATCTACTCTAGCAATAATTGCTTGCTTCAGAACATTGCAATTCGATTCTAAACAAGCAAAACAAATATTTTACACAGCTGCCACTATGGTGCCAGAGATGCTAGCTAATAGGAAGTACATGTAATGGATTACAATGTGAGTTCAGCTATGAAAGATTTAAGTCTCGACTCCTTTATGATTAAAAATGCAACAGGCAGTCCCTTACAGCCCTGGCTTTTGAGTTGTATATGTCAGCAATGATCACGCCTCAGAACACATGCTCATCAAGACTGTAGACCTGGAAGTCCGCAGAGTAAGCACTGCTGTTCCGTGCACTGTGCCCTCACCAAAGGGCAGGACAGCTTACTAAACTCATGTTTGTTCACCACAGGACAGGGGAATAAATCAGTCATACAGAAATTTCAAATTATCATCATTTGTGCAATAAAGTTACACATCATTTTCAGGAAACATTACTGTTTTGAAATATCTTTAATTTATTATCTAGTCTCTAGATGCTTTTATGAATTTACAATAAGATTGGATATGATAAAGTAAAACAATTTTTTGTTAGAAAGGGAGACAAGCCCTAATATTTAGCCTTGAAAATGGGAGAGAGGGAGAGAGAATCCAGTAATAAAACAAAATCTATTGCTCCATTTATCAATAAGAAAACCATTTGGTGACAGTATATATTCCTCAGCCTTTTGCATCAACACACACATGATGGGATGTTCAAAAGGACCCTGCAGAGGAAAAACAGGGCCTATGCAGTCACTGGGTCTCCCACAGGGATGAAGCAATTTGCATTTTTGAACATTCAAAAGTGCCATTATTAGGGCTTTGGATCAAATCTGCCTATTTTTCCTATGACCTAAAATGTAGTCAGGGATATTTTCAATAAGGAAATGAACTAATGATCAGCATCATCTCTGGATATGACTATGATTAACTGAGCATTCTACAGTATATCTATCTGGTTCTCTTCTAACCAGTTAACTGCCACGCATCCAAAACAAAAACCATCCCCACATGCCATGATATTTTGAATTTAATTTAAAAAATTAATTTGCAATGAATATTATAAAAATAAATATATTTTATTACTCATAATTCGGGTGTTCTTGAATATTTTTAGTTGAAAATTCTCACAAAAAATGATTTTAAATCACCTATAGACACTTATGGCGTACAAAGGGTTAATGGGAATCAGACCATTTGTACAATCAGCCTAAGCAAGAATCCTTCCATTTGGTGGAATAGTTTATTTGCCTAAAGCACTGATTATCTGTCATACATTAATCTGCCCAGAGACAGGAATGTTGGAAAGTGCCCACATAAACTAGGGATTTGACATTAATCATGAAACTTTAATTAAAACAACAAATTTGTTACTGAAGTTACAGTAACAAAAGTGGGACTCCTTCATAAATTGGTTATCAGTCTAAAGATAATCAGAAATAGGCTGCAGACATTTCACCTCTTTCTCATCCTTGACCTACTGAGACCCATGAACCCTCTTCATCCTGTACTCCCAACACTGGAAAGCCTGAAGATGTGCTCTGTGGAGGTCATGTACCATAACCTGAATTTTTAATCAATCCAGGAACACACTGAGAACTCACTAAAGGTTTGTTAGAAATGGAAACTCTGATGATGTGGAAGAATTTCTTTAAAATTTTCTTCAAATTAATCATATGTAGAGAGGGAAGCAGACCTCCCTGAGGTTTAAAGTAAGGTATGTGGGGAAAGTACATACATGTAGATACATGTATACACACACAGACATACACACACGCTTCCTTGGTAAGAAAGCTAGTGGTACCCACAACTCTTAATTAAGACACAGGAAATGAGCAGGTCACAGAGAAACATAAGAGTGCAGCAGACAATAAGAGTTTCCAACACTAGGAAACTCATCACCTGGGTACTAGGCACAATGGGAGAATGGCTTTGGATCAGATAGACATAGATTCACATCTGGAATCTGCCATTTGCCAGTTGGGGGGTGCTGAGAGGGTAATGCTCTCTGGGCCCAACTTGCCTCATCTGTGAAAGAGGTATAATAGCTAACCTCATAGGGTTATGAGGCAGAAATGAACAGAATAACGCATGCAAAATGTTTAGGAAAGTATGGCACAGAGTAAATGGCTGACTAATGGGGGTTGGAGGAGTAGTTTGAAGGCAACGTCACTTTGCCTTCAAAGAATAGGCTCTGGGTTTTGGGAAGCATCTTTCTGACCAAAGAAGAAAAATATTAGCTTTCTTTTCTTTTGTCAGAGAAATTGGGTAGAAACGGAGAGAAAGGCACTAGAGAATAACTGAAGAACCCTCACTCGATGAGGGCAAGTCCACCCAATTCCAGAGAGACGAGAAGGAAGCTTTCCAATGTCCCATGATTGCCCAAAGGCCACAATAACAACAGCAGCAAGAAAACATCAATGTCCATCAATGTGAATTTCTTTGTAATCAACATGCAGGCTTGTTTGGTCTTGGAATGAGCCCACTAGAGATTTCTGAATCCACTTAAAGCACACACCCTGCTTTGTCTATGATTACAATTACCTCCAAAGTGGCCTGAAGGCCATCATCATGCAGAGGACTCACACCTTGCGGAAAGCCAGTTAGCCACCGAGATGAGGAGGATGCAGAAGGATGATAAAAGATATAAAGACCGAGGCTAACAAGTTGACAAGCAGCTCAGAGACATAATAAATGGGTCTGGTAGGGGAGACTATGTCCGGGTGTGAAGACATAGTGGAGAAGTGAGACATACAAAGCAGAGAAGTGAGACACCAACAGATGTGAAAAAAAGGGAGAGGGAAAAATGAAGAAGAACTGGGGAGACAGCAGGAAAATTTTAAAAAATTAATAAAGGATCTTGTTTTTCTATCGGTGACTCTGAACATTCTTCACCGTTTGAGCATTGCCTTTTGGAAACTAAATGAAGGAACTAATTTAGGACTAAAAACATAGATTTTAAAAAAAAGAAAGTAAAAATGAAAACTGATTTAAGAATTTAAAAAATAAAAAAGAAGTCTTAGTCTGATTGAGAATTGAGTGTGGGGCCACTCAGGTCCCCTTTCCTTCAGAACCAGTGTTACTACCTGGCTAATGTTTCCTACTGACATTTCAAAATGAAACTTGAATTCTGCCGTTTGGTTTCCTTATCCTTAATTACAGTTAGAATTTCAAACTACTCTGGCTCACATATATCCCTCTAATTCAAACCACCTTATCTACTGTGACTGAGAAAAGTCTTGACCATTTGCTTTACTTTATATTCCACTTTGTAGCTGAACTATTTCTGTTTGTGTGTGAAATCTTTTTGGGATCAAATGCCATACCAACTTGTTTAGATAAAACCCTGCTAATTGTCAACATCTGAAAAGCAGAGGTCAGTGTCTCTGAAGAATATCACATGTCAGAGACGTGGACTGGACTCAAGCTCATACAAGCTGTTGCAGTCCTCCTCTGACCTCCTCTTTGGGTTCTTTACCAAGTTCAGGTTTCTGCACACAGTTGCTGTGGAGTGCAGCCGCTCTGCCAGCAAGCCAGTGGGGCACAAGGCTCTGCACTCCTAATCCTCCTCACACGTGTGAAGATTCACACTGGGAATGATTCTCTAAAAGAAGAGCACATGACCACCCCAGTTGCCTAAATGTACACAACTCTTTCATTTTGGGTTTTCTATTTTTTTCTATCTGTGCAGAGTAAAATGGCTAATAATCAGGGAGTCACAATACCCAGATGGAAAGTTTTAGTTATTTAGGGAAACACTAAATGACACCAGTAGTACCAATAGAAGCAATCATCTACATGGAAATGCAGATACTTCTACCAGGTGCTTCAGGAGGAGAGGGAGAGAGAGAAAGGGAGGCAAAGTGATGTGGTGGAAAAGGACAGTTAGCGAGTGAAGAAGGGGAGACACATGCCAGGACAAAAAGATATGTTTGGAATACTGAGCTCCTATTGAATGTGACCAGGAGAAATTCCATGGAAGCATTGATCTGTGTCCTCTTTCTGGGGAACAGGGCCCTAGTCTCTCTTCTGCCAGGCCATCCACCCCTCTATGCCCTCTGGCCACCATCTCTCTCACATCCCTTCCTTAGTTCTGTGCATGTCAACTCACTCCTCTTCTTTATACACTATATGATAGTTCTCTTTCACTTCTTATAAATACTCTCAAACACAAGTAAAATACAGAAAGCCAAACTATTTATCAACAGATTAAGAACCTGGTCCCTGCACAGACAATATATGCCTAAAGCACATTGTAGCCACACACACACAGGTCTTGATGTGCTACGGGCCGCCTACGTGGCTGTGGCAGCAGGACCATACCCGGTGTGTCAATTCATCTACTTTATCATGCTCATCTTTCTGACGACTGCAAGCCAACCGGCTGGGAGAAGGCACTCACATGGAAGAACCTTTATGTATAATCCGCGAGGCGTCCAGCAGCTGATGCACTGGGCTGAGTCATACAGGGGCCTCCTTCCAAATGCTAAGGGCATAGAGCACAGAGGGGGACTTTACACCTACATCTGTCAATATTCCAAACTTGGGAACAAAAGTTTTGGTGGCAATGATATATGGAAATTAATGATTATAAAGGGCATAGGCAGGTTTGCGTTTGAATTCCATGGTAGCTGTGTGGTCTTAGGGAAAGCTGCTTAATCTTTCAGAGCTGTTTCCTTGTAAGACAATATGATCTCCAGGTCTTGTCCAGACCTAAACTTCAATGGGCTAAATAACTGTTATCCTCCTATTTAAAAGAGAAGATAATTCTGTATAAAAGAAAAAACATAATTTATTACTCAAAGGAAATATAATTTTATGAACTGAAAAAAAGAACTGAATGAACAAGTTACTATAGTAATGACACTCACCCCAGTATAGATTCTCATTCACATCCACATTCCCATGGTGACATGGGTCAATGTAGTCAAATACCTCACAGTTAATATAGTGATTATTTAACATTTAAAGGGACTCATCTTAATTAGAAATTGAATCAAGATCACTTTTATATTGGTCAGTTAAGTTTACACAGATAAGCATTAGTTCCCTTCCCTCTCCCCAAATAAAAGTTGCTCTGCTCAAATTTGAAACAGTTGATAAAAACAAGGTAAGTGGATTTTTTTTGTACCCAAAATGTTTTTGTTACCTGGTTTGAAGTAGAAAAACAAATGCCTGTAAGATTGTGATTACTAGGAGTGACTTATTTTGGGAAGTTGGAAAGCTGAATATTTTAAAATATTTTTATTCTTTACTATGTATATATGAAATACTCAGATGGGAAAATGGTTGTTGTTCCATGTGTGAGGGCTCAGTCACCTGAGCACTTTCTAGGCCTGACAGAGCCCCCAGAGCAGAGGTACCTCCATGTGGTTGTCAGATAATGAGGTGGGCACACTGGGATCCTCTGAGGATCAACACAAGCAAACACAAAGCTGGCAGTAGAGCAATAGGGGGAGATTAGGGACCATGGAGCCCACCTAAGTATAGAGCATGAAGCATTCACTCCACCCATCTACAGAACTCTAGATATCCGAAGTAGCAGTTATTCTAGTTACCCTAGGAACTAAGGAAAATGAGAGTTATCTTTCTATTTTTCAGAGGAGGAAACTTTCTCCCCATGGCCACATGGGAGGGCAGAACCAATGCTATAACCTAGGTCCAGTCCCTAAGTACTCATCTGTCAATGCACTGCCTTTGCATTATTCAGTATTTAATTGATAATGTTGGCATGTCCTGAAACAGCTTTCTTTCTAATCTTCTTGCCACATAGTAAGATGGCCTTGAAGCCAGACAACAACCCCTACCATCCACTGTGGTTCCTCTCTGACCACCGTGGGTAAGGTGGAGAAGCCAGGGCAATTTCGGAAAGACAGAGTGTGAGTGAGTACTGTACCTAGGCAGAGAGCTGTACTGGCGCTGGGCCTGCTGGAAGCTCTCACGCTCCTCTTGCCGCTGGCGCTGCATCTGCACCTCCACGGACACCGAGTGCCTGCCACTCTGCGCCGGAGGTCGGGAGCTGGGCTGCAAGAGGAAAATGCAAAATAATTGACGAGAAGGGAATCACATCATTTCTTATAGACTGGCTTAGAAACATTTGGAAAATTCTTTGAAATTAAAATAAAACCAACTGCAATTTTCTCAAGTTTGAGAAAAGAGACATTTATCTAATTGCTCTTATGAGCCCCAAATATTGAATCATTTTAAATTTTAATTATGGCTTTAGAATGGTTAGAAATTGAGAGGTCAACCTTTCTAAGTCTTCCTAATGAGGCTTGACAAATTCAATGCCAAGTAAATAAATAAAATTGAAGGTTAGCTATGCTGGCAAATGTTTTCAATGGTTATATATTTTAGTTTAACAGTAGGACGCAATAAAAGCTGATCCCCCTTTTCCTAAAGAATGACAGTTAAGCCCTGGCTGGTGTTCCTCGGTGGTTAGAGTCTCGGCCCAGTGGAATAAAGGGTTGTAGGTTTGATTCTGATCAAGGGCACATACTTGGGTTGCAGGCTTGATCCCCAGCCCCCAGTTGGGGCACATAAGGGAGGCAACCAATTGATGTTTCTCTCTCTGTGTGTCTCTCTGCCTCCCTTCCACTCAAAAAAAAAAAAAAATCAATGGAAAAAATATCCTTGGGTTAGGATTAAAAAAAAAGAGAGAGAGAGTTACATTTGAACCAAGTTTAGGTGTAACTACCTATTGTTAATCACATACAGGTGTCCTCTAGTCCAGGGATGGTAGCCAAATGGGGAATAAAAATGCTTATCAAATTAATAAACCTGAAAGCTAATAGCTACTTGAATTGGTTATAAGACAAGACATTTTGCCTTAGTGATTAGGAAATGGCATTTTTACCTAGGTTAATTGTATCCTATAGAGCAGTGGTTCTCAACCTTCCTAATGCTGCGACACTTTAATACAGTTCCTCATGTTGTGGTGGCCCCCAACCATAAAATTATTTTCGTTGCTATTTCATAACTGTAATTTTGCTACTGTTATGAATCATACTGTAAATATCTGATATGCAGAATGTATTTTCATTGTTACAAATTGAACATAATTAAAGCATAGTGATTAATCACAAAAACAATATGTAATTATATATGTGTTTTCCGATGGTCTTAGGCGACCCCTGTGAAAGGGTCGTTTGACCCCCAAAGGGGTCGTGACCCACAGGTTGAGAACCGCTGCTATAGAGAAATGTTCAATCCTGCTGGCTAAATACTTTGGTCAGCAGTCATCTGCTGATTGTACCTCTTGCTCAAATCAGATACTGGATGTATATACTGTGTTGCATAGATCTAGTCCTGTGGATGCTCTGGCTTCTCACTGGTTTGGCTTTTTGAAAAAATAGACAACAATGCCTCTAATGCTACAAACACCCCACGATGGTTCATCATAGCATCAGTGGCTCACACTCTTAAATAATCCTTTTGGTGCATGCTAACCTCTGTTCCCCTTGGCGTCATGCAACAGGCATATTCTGAGTGAAGAATATCTGTTAAAAACACATTATCGATTTTCTTTTAGAGTTGAAAGCCAATGGCAGACTTTGACTTCATAATAATTTTCTAAAATAACAGAGTTATAGCATTCATTTGGAGACCTGTAAGAAAACATCTGGGCCTGTTACTTAAACAATGTCTCTTGTAGTTGGCTTTTGTGTGAACAGAAAGCAAGCATCATCTATTGTTCGCTCTCTGCCTGGCCAGCATTATCTTATTTATTGGTAAGCAACAATATGGCAATATACAGGACAAAATTTTCAAAGCATATTGGCACAGCCACTGAACATATTAAAAATATCCCGATACCAAAAAATGTGTGAAGATTACCCCAATTTCAACTACTGGGTATTTACAGCCGTACTCATAGGAACAAATGTGTGTCCATAGACCCTCTCCACAACATGGGAGTCAACACATCAATGGTGCCTTTAGCAAGGAAAACACTTCACGGAATGAGTTCTGCTTATGCAAACAAAGCATCAACCAAGTGCTCATCAACTGCATTAAAGAAGGCAAACATTTTCTTCCATTGCACTTGAAGAGGCTGGCCAAATAGAAAATCGAGCTGTTCTAGTGTTCACAGGGAATCCTGAGAGAAGCCACTGGACAGAGGGAAAGCAAAGCAAGAAAATACTACACAATATGCCTTCAAAACAACCATATTTCCCTTTTCTTTTCACTCAGAATAAGTCATATACACATGTCAAGAAGCCTCGAAAGAGTTGGCATTCTGCAGCAAGATTTAGTAACCAGTTTCATAAGCTCATGCTGTTTGTAACACACGGCTGTGGAGATGTGAAAAGAAAATGCAAGGTCTTGTAGAAATTTCAGGTGTATTTTTTTTAATCCTCACCTGAAGATATTTTTTCCCATTAATTTCCAGTGAGAGAGTGGAAGGGAGGGAAGGGAAGAGGGAGAGGGAGAGAGAGAGAGAGAGAGAGAGAGAGAGAGAGAGAGAGAGAGAGAGAAATATTAAAGTGAGAGACATATTAATTGATTACCTCCTGTATGCCCCCCAACAGGGGCTTGGGATCAAACCTGAAACCAAGGTACATAACCTTGACCAGGAATTGAACCTACTACCCTTTAGTCTGTGGGCCAATGCTCCAGGGCATCAGGTGTACTTTTAAGTTGTTTCTACCAGAAGCCTGAAAATTTGATTCTGATAGAGGAAAGAAAAAAAAGCTGAAGGGCTTTTGTTTCCTCAAATGTGTGTTTTCTGATACCATTCATCTCAAACATTATGAGCAGCAAACATCTAGTTGGATCTTGATGAACTTCAAACTGAAATTATTATGAGATGGTATCTGAAAACTTAAAAAAATGAGTGAATGAGTTTGGTATCAATATATTGACATATTTCATACTATTGTGCTCACTATGATGAAATATGAATCTCAGGCTTACCATAATGTTTTACTCTATTTCTCTTTTCAGAGTATACAAAAGGGTAGGTTATTAAAAAGAATCACCCATATCTTTAAAATGAAATTTTATTGGGCCAGAGATTTCAAGGAAGATTATATACATGACCAGCTTAAAGCAACAACTTACTAAGTCCATCTGGAAAGTTTTATACTTGGCCTGAATAAAAAATAACCTCATTCATTATTTCAATGATGATCTCATAAAAATGTAAGTTGTGGGAATAAAAGTACAATCTACAATCCTGATTTTTCAATACTGTAGTTTTCCATGTGTAAGGCAGAAACAGAATAATGTATCGGGAGTCCCAAATTACAAAAATATAAACTAACATGAAGAGATATTTTGTAACCCTAGAGAAAAGTGTCTGTGTTCAAAAAAAACAGCATTAGCAGCTTTAACAAAAAAAGTGACATCTATATAGGGAAACATGCAGGTAAAGCACACTTGGAAAAACTCTGGAGATTCATCAGATAACAAGGCAATAACTCTATTTCAAGAGAGCAAATTACAAATAACCCTGGTCTTCTTGCTGATGATATTGATGACAAGGTTGCCAAGACAATATGATAGAGGTTGCAAGATGAGATAATCCATGATTATCTACTACATAGTGTGCTGGAGGAGCATTATTATATGTGAATCTCTCCATTGCTGCTGTTTAAACCCCAGTGAAACTATGCACATTTTTTTTATAAGTTAGCTCCAAACTATTAGACTTTATCATGATTATTAAAGAGGTACTATTTATACTATATAAAAATTATATAAAGCTTGAGAAAGCTACATAATTTTGGTGTCACTTACTAGTGTAAAACAAAAAAATATCTGCCGATACCGGTTTGGCTCAGTGGATAGAGCGTCGGTCTGCGGACTGAAAGGTCCCGGGTTCGATTCCGGTCAGGGGAATGTACCTGGGTTGCGGGCACATCCCCAGTGGGAGATGTGCAGGAGGCAGCTGATCGATGTCTCTCTCTCATCGATGTTTCTAACTCTCTATCTCTCTCTCTTCCTCTCTGTAAAAAATCAATAAAATATATTAAAAAACAACAACAACAAAAAAAAATAACAAAAAAATATCTTCCATATAGTGTTTCACTAAATTAAGTCATTAACAAAGTATTCCTCTCATTTAAATAAAATCCCATTTTTCAAAATAAAAATAAACAATACAAGAAATTAAAATACAAAATCAAAACTGCTAATTCTTAGCACAAACTTACAATGTAAAATTGATCCTTTTATGACCTGGGCAAGATGGCTATGATTAAATGTCAGAGCTACACTGACATTTTCCCAGGACCAAACTAGAATTACAATGAAAACATAGAAAAATTATCCTGAATTCTTAACTGGAGACTAGCTGGACAGAACCCTTATTACCAAGGACATTGTGTGTAAACAGCATAGAGACTGGTAGGAAGTGCAGATGTGCGAGGGCTGGTCAGGCTCCCACAGGCAACACCTGAATTTCTGGAGGGATATCACAGCTGTAGGAGGTTCTCCCTGAGAAGTCTAGGGTCTAAATGCCAAGCTGGGCTTTCCAGCTGAGAGCACCAGAACTGAGAAAGGTAATCATGTAACATCTAACTGTCAAAAGTAGCAGGGTTGCTTTCTACCAGGGAGAGACAGCTGGAAATGTAGGCATCCCCTTAAAGGGGCAACCTACAAAATTTCATGAGCTGTCATTCAACTTGGGCTCTGGCAGAGTAAGGGAAGAGTGGAGTAGAGCTGTGTGAGGAGAATCCAGGGTGAGTGGTGCTGGGGATAGAGCTTGGAGGACAGTTACCTACATTCCTGTGCTGAGTCATTCCCCCATGCTGCAGAGGACATCATTCTCAGGAACCCCTTTACTATCCAGGCAGCTGGTATGTGTGTTGAGGGGGGAGGTAGGGGAGGGGGCATAACTGCCCTACCCATTGGAAAATGTCTTGCCTCACCATGTGAAGTTTTGGTTCCACTGTGGTCTATAACTTGAAGCTCATTAAATGACTAAGAATAACAATTGCCCTACAGGCAGAGGAGGAATCTCTGGGTGCTTTGAGTCTTTGCCTGATGTGCTTCTGGACCCAGGGCTAGGATAAGCAGAT